ATAATTTGGAATGCCATAATTCATTCAGTTTATATGTAATTTATTATGTAAAGTGCCAAAATAATTTGGGATGCTATAATTGAATTTGGAATTTTACTTATAATTATGGCAGCTTAAAATAATTTAGGTAACATCACTAACATATATAATTAAATTACAAATACATATATTGTAAATAAATAAAAATAAATAAGTAAAAAAATTTTTTTCATATCTTAATAACATTAAAATAAAAGATATAAAATATTTCAAAAAAAATAAGCAAAAAAAAAAGTTGGAAAAGTTTCTTAATATTTTATAAATTCATTATATTAAAATAGGCTTATAATAGGTAACTTTCTTCAGTCAGATTGAACTAAATAAAATGAAATTTTTATTTTTTTTAAAGTTTATAAATGTATTTTTAGGAACTAGGTAAATATACTTATAATTATTAAAAATGATGTTATATTATGTAAATACAATATTACATATAGTCTAAAATTTTCAATTTTTAGTTGAATATTATGAATTTAGTCAGAACTCAAAATTAAAAAAATTTGGCCAGAATTATAGTTTAAAAATTGCTAATTTAATCATTTATATTAACTTTAATTAACTTTAACTAACTTTGGATTTTACATTATATTTACTATAGTAGACTTTAAAATTATATTATATTAATAATTTATATTGTAATATTATAATATAAAAAAATTTTCTGCTAATCTGATATTTCTACTAAATACTAATATATTTTAATAGTAAAATAAGCATTTTTAATGGTAGTATTAACAACTTTTATGGTGTTATGTATTATTGATTTAAAAGTTTTTTCCTATTATTATAAAAAAAAATACAGTTAATATAAAGATAAATTTAATTAAATATATTAGAAAATTAGTTAATAACAAATTTCAATTTTATGCAGTTTTTTGTGTAATTCAATTTTTTTTTCAAAATATATTAATATTAATAAAATATTTCTAATATTCCTAAAATTCATATAAAATTAGTATTGTATAAATAAATATAATTAAAAGTATAGTTAGAGATAAGCACAAGTACAATAGGCAAGTAAATTATAAAGTAAATAGTAAACAAATATTTATTATCCCTTAAACTGTAAGAGCTAAAATTAATTTTAAAAATTTTTGAATTTTTAAAATATCTTGAGATCTAGTGATCATAGAAAGATGAAATTATATTTGTTAGATTTCTCTTATTAAGGTGCATTTAATGGTAATAAAATAATAACTCTAAAATTGATAAATAAAAAGTTATATTAATTTATAAAATTTTAGATTTTATAAGTTATCCTGTCACATAATATTTGTAGAAGGACAATTTTATTTCTATCAGATTCTTCTCATTAAGACGCATCAAATGGTAGTCATTTTATATTTCTAGGATCAATAGATAAAAAGATATTTTAATTTAAAAAATTTAACTACCGTATATCGTGGGCCACAGTACCCTCCTATGCACAGTACCCCTTTAAAAAAATTTATCGGAATTTTAAAGTACCCGGATACTTTACATAGAAATCTTCAATTTAAAATCTTAGAATTTGTAAAATACCTGGGGTATAAATCCCGGATACAACTTTATTTATTAAAACGGAGTATTATTTATTAGTTATTCATTATTGTAATACAAATATATTTATAGTAATATACTCCTTAATCGATTCTTTATTTCTAATTATATGCAAGTTTAATAATTAGCAATTTTATTTGATAAAATGGAATAAAATAATATAAAAAAATTTACCTTATATACTTTTTTTAATTCGCTTAGTCTATAACGCATTTCTCCATGATCATCAGAATCTTGGTAATCATAATTACCATCATCTTCCTCTTTCTCACTTTCACTTTTGTCATTATCTTCTTCCCGACCAACTTCAACAACAACTTTAACATCCCATTTATTCTCGTAGTTAGTTTCTTCGGGATATTCTTCTTCATAATTTTCATCGGTTGAGTTATCAAAATTTTCTAACACTTCGTTATCTCTATTCAATAAACTATCATGATCAAAAATACAATCATCTTCAGAACCATCAATATTTGTCGAAACTCCACAACTTTTAAAGGATCTTTGAATAAGATTTTCATCAACTTCATCCCATGACTCTTTAACCCATGTTGCGACTGTTGAATAAGAAGGTCTTTTAATCTTTCCCGCTGGAGTAAAAGTATGAATATTTGATATCATCCAATTATTATACCGATATTTAACCTATAATTTCACTAATATTAGTAACTAATAAGAATAAAATTGAAGTAAAAAGATCAAATAATTACCTTAGATTTAAAACTCTTATTAATTGCAACGTCTAATGGTTGCAATTTGGATGTACAACCGCCAGGAATTACGGCAATGTTTGTATTTTTTTCCACAAATAGATTTTTGACAGAATTTACTATATGCCCACGAAAAGAATCTAATACTAACATAGAACGTGGATTTCCAAAAAGGTTCCTTGAAGTCCAAACGTTCTCAACCCACCACAACATTTCCTGTTCGTTAACCCACCCTTTTTCATTAGCTCTTATGTAAATACCGTGTGGAAAATTTTCTTTCGGAATATTTTTCAGTTTGAAAATGCAAACTGCAGGAAGTTTCGTACCGTCAGCCATACATGCAAGTATAACTGTAAATGATGATCGTTCATGACCAGTTGTACGAATACTTACCGTTTTTGCTCCTTTTTGGTTTATAGTTGTATTACTCGGCAAATCAAACCACATGGGCGTTTCATCCATATTGCCTATATATTTTAGTTCATATTTATTATGAATTCTTAGGTACATAATATAACTCAAAAAAATATTTTGCTTTTCAATTAAATCTGATGGCAGTTGCTGTGCTACTGTTGTTCTACGACGCTCACTAAGGTCATATCTTCCTAGAAATCCTTCAAGCCACTTATTAGAAAATTTGAACCCAGCAATACCCGGATTATTTGCTAATAATTCTGGACTTTTGGATAAGGAAATGGCTTTATTGGTAATTAATTTTCGAGTAACGGCATTTCCATTGGCTCTTTTTTCACTTATCCATGCAAATAAATCATCTTCTAATTTCGGATATCTGGCAGGTTTACCCGGATGAAGTTTAGCCACATGAGGAGCAGTCGTTAACAAAGTTCCTTTTTTATTTTTCCAATCACGCAGTTGTTTGGGCTGAATATCAAATCTTTTGGCAGTTCCACGTATATTTCTATTATTATTTTCATAATAATGCACTATCATTAATTTTTCCCTTACATTCCATTGTCTTTGTTTCTTTTGTGGTAAACGATTGCGTGTTTTTTTATTTTTCTTGTTGCCAATAACTACCATTTTACTTTTAGCAGAAAGAAAAAAAAAATGCGTAAAATAAAGACACGTAAATCAAACAAAGACATTTTTATGTATGAATAGGGGTATTTAGATAAGTAATTTTGTGTAAAATATCTTGAAAAAGTATCAAGATATGAGAAATAGGATATATTTAGAAATTCTTAACGAGAGATTACATCATAGTGATTATCCATAATACTCAGATATTATATATGGCAAGTACCCCGGGTATTTTAAAAATTCTGTACCCCTCCTATGTATAGTACCCACTCATGTAATATACCCCCGGGTACAGGTCCAAATGCCCAAAATTTGCAAGATACCCGGGGTACTGTGGCCCGCGATATACGGTACTATTTGTTATAATTTGTCAATCATTTATTTTTAAAAAACTATTAATCAAATAATCAAATTGAATTTTTTTTCAATTTTTACTTAGAAAATATTATAGAATTTATTACAAAAATATTGGTTTATGTAATAAAATATTTTAAGGTATTTAAAAGTGTTTTTAATTAAAAAACAAAATTGCAGATAAATTTGACTGTAAAACAGTTTAAAGAATAATTGTAAGAGTTTTTTTTTCACAGTAAGCAAATATCTACTATAACTATAAAAGTCTTCTTCTACCAGTCAGTTATATAAAATATAATAATAAAAAAAACTTTGTTATAATTAATACTTATAGAAATTCAGAAAATAATAAATTTCAAAACTTATTTCTTTGAAATAGACGCTCTAAATACAAGCAAGATATATTTTATAAAAAACTTATTTCTTTGAAATAGACGCTTCAAACATAAGCAAGATATATTTTATAAAGAGTATTGCTAATCTTAACCGGGGGGATAATTCCTCCCTCCCTTAAGAATTTAAAGAAAATAAACTTTTTTTATGAAATATACAAAATAAATATAATTGGATATTAATTGCATAAAAATTTGGCAATTCTTGATTTTAAAAAAATTTTTTATCATGAAAAATACAATTTAACTACTATTGATCTTTCTATTGGCTGTTCTTTAAGTGCACACCCTCCCTAACTGCATGTGTATGGCTGGGCCCCAGATGCATGCACTTATGGAGGGGTGTGACTGTATCTTTTATTTTAAAAAATAGTTTTGGTTTTGTTACAATACTGTATATATATTCAAATAAATATTTTTTTTTATTTTAAATTTATTCAATATGCTTTACTAATGTAAAAACTAAAAAGTTGATATAATATATCATTTAATTAAGTATATTTCCAATAAACCCACCTAATGTACAGATGTAAAGAACAGAAGCAAATGTAATATTCTATTTTACTGATAAATCAATTATATTAAAATCATTAATTTTGCACTTCTCATCATGAAATTTACTAACTTTTATAACTTTAACCAAAAAAAAATATAAAACAAACTTCTACTTACTACATTCAGAAAGTACTATGATGTTAAGTTCAATTTCTAATTCATTGGTAAACCAGTAGTATTATCGTTTATTGAATTCTGATATTCAAAATTTCAAATTACTTTACTTATTCTATACCTAAAAATTTTTGTCTTTCAAAAAAACAATAAATGCTAAATTTTATGAAATAAAATTAATAATTCAAATTTCAAGAATGTTCAAAAAACTAATAGGATTATGGCTAAATAATGCATGATACTAATAATACAAGCTAAGAAGTAAATTGAAATGGAATGAATATACATACAAGCTACTGTGTTATTCTTAAGTTTTCCTTATAACATAATAAGCTTATACTTAATTACCTGTTATATTTAGCTTTAATAAATAAATTAAAAGTAATATTATAAAGTTTCAAATGTATATTCAATGCGTAAGCTATTGAATACTTATTATTTTAATTACACTTGTGAAAATTGATTTAGTACAGTTTTCACTCGTTCGCGAACATCTAAATTTTCATCATTTGTCATATTTTTTACTTTATCTTCAAATCCTAGATCACGTAATTTTTGAACTCGAACTTGTGAACCTTGATAAAAAATAAGGAATTATAAATATTGAATCTAACCTACTAATATTATTTCAAAATATTAAATACTTACTAGCAGATTTATCTTCTGTCCACAATAAATTTATGAGAACCCACACTGCAATCACACGAATTTCCGGATTATCGTGGCCCATGTAGTTTAATATACGTGTTAATATTGTGGGTCGATTCATAATAGCTGTTTTATGTCGTTCATAACCCGATGCAATATTATTTATCACATACAGTACCTAAAATATAAAAGATTAAAACGTGGAACCATAAAATCAACATGTCATTACATTACCTGTTTAATAATTTCCTCATTTTCATTCCACCAACATAGTTTATTTTCTATAATATTCATTAATTTATTTTCGCTTAAACCTTTGAAGACCTCTTCAATGTCCTAAATAATCAAATGATCAGTAATATCTTAAGTTGTAATTAATGAACAACATCGTAACAAACTTACAATCGGTTTTGTGCATGCAAGATTTCTTAATAAATTTAATGCTTGCTCTTGTACTTCGACAATTTCTTGATCGGAAATTAAACTAAATAACATTATAAAATTTATGAATTTAATGTATAATAATAATTGAGACAGATTTATTATACTTACTTCTCCATAGTTTGGTATGTTAAAACTTTCATTACCGCTTCTTTAACATCTGATTCTGCTTGATAAACTAAATTCTTCAATGCCCATATTGCATTAAGTCTCAGTGTATTATCTGGTGAACGCACTAACTCTACTAACTTTTCTATTCCACCTAGTTCCATAATCGTCTGGAAAAGAATTTAATTATAAAGTTACTAACCGGCATCTTTAATTTGAAATTGCTTAAATAAATTATATCAAATAGATGATACTCACTTTTTTCATAGGAGAGAAATCTAAGACTAAATTACAAAGTGTTGCGCAAGCTGTCGCTTGTACGTCCGTTGATTCGTCAGATAAAAGCTTCGTTTTGTCGAAAATTGTCAGCTGAACAATATTACGAAAATTTGCTCATAGAAGGTTCTCTTGAAGTCTTACTTTAAATAAAGGTGTTGCAACTCCTGCATCTACAAGGCTGGTCCGTAATATGTTAATCGACCTTGATAAGCTCCGAGTACATTGACATGCTGCAGCACGAATTCCATAAGAACGATGTGACATGGCAGCAACGATATGTGGAATAATCTTGGCTTCCACAACTAACTTTCGTCCATCATCCGTCAGTGAACTAATAGCAGCGAGAGCCATTAACGCATTCTATGGGAAATAAGTGTTTTTTAATCATTACAATTCATGATGTATTAATTTATTAATTATATATACCAACCTCTTTTAATTTATCACCATCACCTACGGGGTCATAATATGAACTTTCTTGGTCCACGACATGAGTTACAAAATCTGCTAATTTTGGAACCGCATCCGAGTCACACGCAGCCTTTTGTAACTCTTCATTATCGCGAATCAAATAAGCTAAGACGTGAGGGGCTTCTTCACGAACAGGACCTTTTTCATCAAGCAATTTTACTAATGTAGGTAATACAATTAAAGTGATGTCGTTAGAATACTCGCCAATAGCATTTGCACGACTCAGGTGGGTTAAACTATAGAAAAAAAATACCATTTAAAATAATTATTAAAGTTCCACATAACATTGTGGTGACGATAATAAAAGCATAGGAAAAAAAAATCGGGCATACCATTTGGCAGCAATTAAACGCATTGTTGATGATTTGTCCTGGATCAAATTTAACATGATCTTAACTGGGCTATCACTTGTTTCAGCTAAAAATAAATAAATCAATTAATTATGTAAACGATAAACTTCACTACTTTAATTATACTCTACATTTAGTTTCAACGATTGCTTTTCCAAATTCAGGGTTTTCCCGGCAGAGATATGCCAAAGCATCTAGTGCAGCTTCTTGTGCTTTAGAAAATCCACAAGTAAGCAACTTAACCAAAGCTGGGAAAGCACCAGCACTAGCTATTTGAATTTGTTGTTCATTAGTATCACAACAACGAGCAATAATAGTAGCAGCCAATTCAGCTGTATGTACTGAAGCAATCCTTTCGCGATCGGTTTTAGGATGGAGACTATCGGGATTAAGAAGTGTAATAAGGTCACGTAAATGATGGTCAGCGAAGATATCGTTCTTATCAGCGGTGGGACATTTATAAATTGCTTTCAATGCCCTAGCGGCAGCCTCTATAAGACGGGGATCATTTTGTAAAGAGATGCATTCTAGTAAAGGCTTGATTGCATCATGTTTTGCTATTTCGGTTACATTTTCCTCGCCTCCTGTAAATATAAATTTTAGTATTGATTTTACTAAGAGTAGAAATCTAAAAAAATAAATCTCGAACCATATGCGAAACTGCCCAACACAATCGCAGCTTGAATTTGTACTTGAGAATCCACAGTGTCCTTTGACTTCAAGAACTTTACAAGCCTATTAAGCGAAAAAGCTACTTTAATAAATTGTGTGAAATCAAAGATCAAGATCAGAATAACTTACTTAGGAATTACGTTGAGTTGAATATACAGATCTTTCTTCGTTTTATTTCCAATGATGTTATTCTTTATAAAGCGAAGGGCCTTTACACGAACAGCTGGATCAGAAGAATTTAATTCATCAACAGCTTGATTATGTTTCAAGGAATTCATAGTTCAAACTAATAGGAGGTGAAAGAAAGTGGAATAAAAAATATAAGAGCTCTAATTTTTTAGTAACAGTTATAGCATAAGTCATCATTGTACTTGCTGCCTATCACTTACAGATATATAAGTACCTTTCTTGATCCATCAGGTGACAGAGCATTTAAGATTTAGCTATCGCCACAAATTTCTGAAACATTCATGCTTGGTAAAACGAATGATATTCAAGGCAATTCCTTGCTCACTTTCAGATAAATAGTTTATTTTCTTATGATCTAAATAAAAGATCGATCACATCTCAGCGCAGTAAAAATTCGATAGCAGTCCGGTCGAGGTCGGAGAGTATAATTATGCATATCTAACTTGATGACCATAAAGGGAACAATTATTTTTGTTTGTAATTCCTTGTTGGAAAAAAAGAGTAAAACGTTGGAATTCTTTGTTATGTACCTAAAACAAAGGAATTTATTGTGTGTATATTTGCGGCGTTGAGGAAATTTGTTTGATATAAAAAGAGGGCGATTTTGCTTTTATGGATTACTTGGATTAAAAGGTCCCAAACAAATTTTTGTCTTGATTATTAATATTGAGAGCTGGTTTCTCAGAAATTCATAAAAAAAAAAAATGGATCTCCGTAAATTAATTTCCATAGTTTTAAAAATTATTTTTGCAATATTGCTACTTGTCATTTTAATATTTAATATAGTAATAGATGTTAATCGATCAAAGCTTATACATACAACAACTACAAATGAAAACGTTAAAGAACTCGTTCCACCAGCATTTTCACTATGTAGCAATAATATTAATTTTAAATTTGATTGTAATGTCTACGGGGAAACATTAGCGAATTGCGCTAATTTAGTAAGAATTGCTAATGTTTCCAACGATGAGACTTACAATTCATGGTTTACAGGTTGTAATGTTTTTCAAACCACACAACCGATGCTTTTCTCCACACCCAAAAGACAACCAAAAGACTGGGCACCTAATAATTCACCTTTATTTGTAAAATATTCGTTACAAAATGTATCTACTGCAAATTCGCTCAAAGTTGCATTCATGTTGTGGAATCCATATGATTTATCTTCTTCTGCTGGACTTGATACTGAATTATCCACAAAAACAACACCACAAATTTTGAATCCATATCGTTTAGTGCAAATGGATGCTATGAGAGAAAGAGTTTTTTCCTTTTACTGGCGAAAACATATTTTTCTCAATAACACAGAGAAATTTTATTTGGATTATAAACTTGAACTAGATGAATCTACCTCTACAACCGCATCGGGATTTGTTCATTTTAAACCTGCTTCATTTAATATGGAAGTAACTCGTGAACATAGGTGCTTTCCTGCCTTTTCGGTATTTATAATGTTTATTGTTCTTTTAGCCGTCTTTTATACAACTTATTGGGGATTATTTAGTGGTAAAGGAAAATATAAAACTTGGGGTCTCGCTCATATAATCACGGGATATTACCCTCAACAACATATTCTTCCAATGGAAAATACTCAATCATTGAAACCTACTGCTGACGATGTTTTAAGAGTATATCTTGATGGCTTAGATAGGGCAGAATTTGAGAAAAAGTAAAATTAAATGATAAGAATTGGAATATATTGACTTTGATAGTCAAACGTAATCACGTTTATAATTCTCTAAATAACCGTTTTGTACATGATCTACAATATCAATATATATATTTTTACAACTTGGTTCATCAAATCCAAACTTCAATTTACAAAACAAGTATTCAACATGCAAGCCCCACAAAACAAACTTAAGAAGATCAGATTTACATTATTTTTAACAATGCTCAAAAGAAAAAGATGTCTTACTAAATTTGATTAACAATTGTACTTTAGTGCTTGTTTGAATCACGTGGCCACACTTTATACAGGTTAAAAGCATCGAAAATTCCGAATAATGATCGTCGAGACGTAGGCTATCGTTACATTGTTTTCGCCAAAAAATAAAAATATTAAATCTTACGATCCTAAATTTCAAATATTAAGATCATAATTAATAACCATTGTCCATTATATCTATTATTGAAAATAAAAAGTTTACTGTCAGTTAAAATCTTCTCGTTTCATTTCATTAATCATGATTGCTTTAGTATTGGAAGTTATTGGAATTGTTTTATGTTTCTAATTTTTCATAATTTTTGATTAGAATACAATGTTATTGGTTATTAAAGATTTCGCATAGGATTCACCCTTAGTAAGTTGCGATAGCACAAATCCTCAATAATCAAAGATTTAAATATACATAATTTAAATAATTTTTGAATTGATCGTCACATTAACAATGCATTGATTACCAAAAATACGTTTACTATTTTTGATTTGATATTCCTAGTAATGAAGAGGTTTACTTGATTTTTTTTAACAAAATTGAGAGTTTATCTATTCTTCATATTTTTCTGGGTATTAATTGATGGGTAGCAAATCATTTTTTTTTTTTAAAAAAAAAAAAAAAAA